GTATGTATGTAAGTGTGTGTATGTGTTTTCATTACTATTTAATTTTAATTAATAATGCCTCTAGATCATCATAGGTATGATCTTCCAAGCATAACTGTCAGCACCTCTTACAGTTGCTATATGTTTTAGTATATAACTTTAGGCTTTTATTAATCATTTTGTAGAGGTAGGCCCAACACATTTAATTTTCAGATATATTTCGGCAAGTTTTGTGTATCATTTAATGCTTTTTATTCCTTTATTTTCTAATATTAGAGCAGAAAACCGCATGCATATTAATGCAGATACTGTGGTACTTTTTAAGTGCAACAAGGAAAGTAATTAAAAATACTCCATGGAGTAAAATGCTTATTACAAAAATGTGAAAAGTTTGAAAAAAATATTTCGGTAAAAAAGAAAAAAATGTTAGTTAAAAATAAATAAAATTGAAGTGTCTGTTTGTAATGTCAAAATTACAGCTTTTTACTAAATGCATATGAAAGTATATACGGTACTAATAACAAAAATACAATTTTTAAAGTTTTTGTCTGTCTGTCTATCCGTCTGTCTGTCTGTTTGTTCCGGCTAATCTCCGAAACGGCTGGACCGATTTTGATGGGATTTTCACTGGCAGATAATTGATGTCACAAGGAGTAATTTAGGCTAATTTTATTTTAGAAAAAGAATTAGAGTATCGCGCAAAAGAATTAAAACCCCAAATAACACGCGGGCGAAGTTGCGGGGAACAGCTAGTCTTAATATAAAATTGAGGGGAATTAGTGGGTAATCTGTTAATGTTTTGTCTCTAAATTAGAGAATTTGACATGGATTTTCGGGGAATTTACAAATTGGTGTTGGCAGCGCTGCTGGCAACACTGCTGAGTGCTGATCTATGCCACACATTCACGTTACCGAAGTTTAGGAGTTTTGGCGGGAACTTGACCGGCGACGGATTGCTGCTCCTGTATTATTGATTAAATAATGCTCTGAAGTGGATTTTGATATGTAAAAGTGGTGCGATTTTGTGTATTAAATGTCTACGCATGTGAACTATTAGTGGAAATGGTGAAACAAGTGCTCTGATGGTGATGTGATTCTCAAGATAAGGTGTCTGTCTGCATAGGAGCCTTGAGATACCATCGTCAATTGTCAGCTGTCTGCTGGCTCAAGTAGTCGTCAAAATCTCTCAAGGGCTGCATAATGTGACGCATCAACATAATATTGTGAAGCAGTGTACTATGAAGGATCATTATACATTGTAACTTCAGTCTCAGAACGGCTAGAACCCAGAGCTGTAAAGCCAGTTATTAAGAAGAAATTATGTACTGAAGTTTACTGTATCTATCAGGGATTGAAAACGGTTCCAAAATACCGGTATAGAACAGGTATTTAGGGGTTTTGGTACCTATACCGGAACAGGAACCAGAACCTAAATTAGAACCTTTAAGAACCTTCATTTTACCGGTTCCTAAGCAAAGCGAAAGCGAGTCAAAACTTTTTTGAGGTGCGGTCGGAAGGAGGAAAGGGGAATTTGTAAAACATCACTTTTGTATTGGTGGATCTTCTGTTGCATATCATCGCAGCGTTGCCAACTCTACGGATTTTTCCGTAGATCTACGGAATTTTGTCATCATCTACGGAACTACGGAATTTGAGGTCGCAATCTACGGAATTTTAATTAAGTTAACAAGATTTTTTTTTATCATGAGTGTGAACTTGCCGACAATGTCATTCACTCTCTCTTCTTCTATGTTGTCTGTATTAAATTATATTTAATAATTAATTCTATGCTATCTGTATTAAAATAAAACCATTTTTGCTCACAAATATCAAATTTTTGAAAGGTTAATCGATTTCAAATTTTAATAGCTCAGATATTTTGCATTAAATTACGTTTATTTCGAATTTAGAACACTTCTTGGAAAATAGGTAGTTAATATAGGCGCTTATAATTTTTTTTATAGATGATTAAATTATCACTTATGTCTAAAATTTTTCTAATCCATGCTGTCCTAATTGTTTTTACAATTATAAAAAAAAATCTGCCGAATAAGTCTTCGCTTTTCCTCGATCTTTTTTTTCGAATTTCTCAAAGTTTTTAGTTGTATAGTTTCTCATTTTTACATAAACGACCAGAGTCTGAAACACCGTAATATATCAAATAAACTAGCAAAAACCAGAAAATAAAATCTATGTTAATAAGTCGTTATAATCAAGTTTGTAACGTATTTTTTTAGTATCGTTACGCAACTCGAGCTAGCAGTACGAAACAGTGTAAATGATTCGTTACAAATTACTTTTTTATAAATTTGTTTTTTTATCTAGCTCTTTGGCGGGTTGGGATAGCCATAATTGCCAAACTTATTATGTAGGATTGACATAAAAAGGTATATTTAGTATGTATCACATACTTATTTGTATTTGATTTTAATCTTAGTCATAGTAAGTACTTGTATTTGACAACAAAACAAGCTATGTAGCAGTTTTCACGAAACATTATTAGTCTAACTTTAAGATATAGTTACAGTCAAATACACAGACAGTCAAAATATTCTTAAATAAATTCATTTCTGTTTTTAAAATTAAAATATTTATTGTAAGTTAAGTGTTACAATTGACGTTAATTTAAAATATGGTTTATCTTACAACTGAACCACCCTTTTCGGATATTACAATAATAGGTCTGTGACTTACACAACTATATTAATCATAAACCCTTCAAAATTTTAAAAGAAATTAAATTACACAAATTGGCTATTATAAAATTCTAAATAACAAATTGAAACATTCTAAATAACAAACATTTTAGGTTGTACATAGTTAAATACTCTTTAAAACACAAAGCGCGCACACAACGAGCGAATCGCGTTCTTACTCTTTTACTGGCTCACTTGATCCGTTCATGTACAGCAGCCCAATCTCGAATTAGAGAGATCTAATTCGAGTTAAGCGCAACTCGAGTCAACTCGAGTTTAGTGTTCATTAAACATCGATTGTTGATATTCGATAGTAATCGATAGTTTCTTATAAAACCATTGATATATCGATAGACTATCGATTGTCTTGGAGCAGGTATCAGAAATAAAAATAACAATAAGTAGTTATTGCATTTTTTTGTTTGCTGTCTTTGAGAAATACGCAATTTGTCACTGGCTGGTGTAGAACTGTGAAAGAAATTCACAATAACCTTTGTCTTCAACAACTGATTTATATAAAAATAATTCTTAAAAGAACTTCTAGATTTCTTTGGTTGCACTTCATCTTAAACTTGATGTTCAGATGATGATCTGTCTTCCGATTCTAACCTATCTATTTGATCGGCATTCCTTCTTTTCGAGTCATCTCTTAAATTGGTCGTATTTCCTAAATGCTTATATTCCTGATTTTAAAAGTTACACTTTTCATACGGACTATATTATTGTCCACTATCTAGAAATAATTCTACACAAATTATTGATTTTTAGGATAAACTTTCAGTTCATTATGAAGTCAAATACAAAACAAAACAGTAAACTATAAAATGCAAGATCAACAGCCCGTTCTGACACTCAACAAATAGCGACTTACGTCAGCCTCACGCATATTAATTAGCTTTAGGCCCGCTCTATACATACGGAATTCCGTTTCGAGATTCCGTTTCGGAATTTCGAACGGTCGGCCACACACAAACGGAATCCCGTTTTGCCCGCAAAATATCGAACGGAAAACTACCGTACGTGTGTGGCGGGTCATAGATTTTATATGGACTTGCTGCGTTCGGGATTCCGAATCGGAATATCGAAACGGAATCTCGAAACGGAATTCCGTATGTATGTGGCCGGCCTTACACACACAGTTTATTTACAGGGATTCCTTTGACCTTAGACTAAGGCCGGTCACATACATACGGAATTCCGTTTCGAGATTCCGTTTCGATATTCCGATTCGGGATTCCGAACGCAGTAAGTCCATATAAAATCTATGACCCGTCACACACGTACGTTATTTTTCCGTACGGAATTTCTCCGATTCGAGATTCCGTATGATTGTCTGTGCGTTCGGGATCCCAAATGGAAAAAAGCCGCTCCGAACGCACGTCTTCCATAGATTTTGTACGATTCGCAACACACATACGTAAATTCCGTACGGAATGCGCTCAGTGTTCGTCGCACGACCGAAGCGAGTAGGTGTATTTATGTATGTTTTTAAATTTAATCTTGTAGGTCTATAGCTTTTCGTAACCTTTCATCTTATTTTATTTAATAATTCCTCGATAGAATTTACATACATAAATATTTAAAAAATATCTGTGGATAGATAGATCTTTTTACATAGTATTGACTATATTGCAAGCTTAGGGTGATAAGGGGATGCACCTAGTAAGAATGATACAGCAACAATGTAATTTGCAATTAGAAAATCGTCGTCATTATTCGCTGGCAGAATGTCTAGACTCAATGGCTAACGTCTCTCAACTGACCCTTGTTATTCCGAACGGAAAAAAACGTGTGTGTGTGATGTATTCACGGAAAACCCGATTCGGGATTCCGAAACGGAATCACGAAACGGAATTCCGTCTGTATACGGTCGGCCTAAAGGGAGACATCTACTATAGACAAAAATTACGATAAGGATGGCAATCGATAGTTTAACCAGACTATCGATAGAATCGATAGTGCAAGCACTATCAATTAATCGATAGTCTATCGATGTTTAAGGAACACTACAGTTACTAACTCGAGTTACTAAGTACTAACTCGAGTCGAGCTGTCGAGTTAGTAACTCAAAGAGTATAGTAATATATAAGGAAGTAGTAACTCGAGTTGACCCATCACTAGTTTCTGATATATACTCTGATTGTAAAATATTATTTAAAAACGTAATTTAATTTAATATGTTTTGTTTGTATGTAATATAAATACGTACTGATATTAACACGTAATTTATGTATTTCTCATTGTAGTTTTTACAATTTAAAACTATCGCTCGCACTTACAAAAGAACTTATTACAATTAAACAATTTACATTTTAAACTTAAAATATGAATAAGAAACCAATATCCTTTGGTAAAATTAGTTTTAATTTTAACAAGTGTGAGAAAACAAACGACACTTCTACATCAGGTTTCGGAACATTCGGGCGAACGCCTATACAAGAGCAGAAAGAAATAGAGGAAATAACAGACGACTTAGAAAATCAACATGTTCAGCAAGTTATGGGTATCAAACATTTTGGAAAGAAAGCTAAAAATTTCGATGTTGAGGAAATGATGGAACAAGCTCGTAAAACAGCTCAAGAAGTAACGAAAAAAAAGTTAGAAACTAATGAAGATGAATTTAGTAAAGAAACAGACACTGTAAATCAAAAGGATAAAGACGATCATGTAATCGGACCTCCTGTCCCACCAGGTATACCACAAGATGATGAAAACGATGATGACTTAATAGGTCCTCCAATACCTAAAGAAATTTTAGAGTCAGGTTCTATTGACAGTGAGCAATCAAAAGCAGATAAAGAAAACAGTGATGAAGACAGTTATGATGAACTGAGTGGTTCTGATGATGAAGAATTCAATTTAGAAAAGCGGATACCTAATACTCATGAGGTAAGGCTCATGTTTAGGGTTCCGTACCCAAAGTTTACCAACGGGCTCTAATTACTAAACCTCCTCTTTCCATCTGTCTGTTTGTCAGCAGGCTGTATCTCATGATCTGTAATAGGTAGACAGTTGAAATTTTTAAAAATATGTATTTCTGTTGCCACTATAACCAAAAATAATTAAAATAAATTAAAAATTAATGTGGGCTCCCCTACTAGAAAAGTGTATTACGATGGTACGGAACCCTTCATGCACGAATCAAAATCGCACTTAGCTTAGCTTAGCTTAGCACTACGGGTATTTAGGTTTAATTCTATATCACATCAATCTTGTTCTGAACTCATACTGATCTACAAAATATAATTCAGCAAAGTGTAGAACTTGTTCTTATCCACACTTTAGCATTGTTTTCAATTAATAATGATAGTAAGTATTAACCGATAGTTGATAGGTTCTGGAGTGGCAGCTTCATACTAGTGAGCAGAGTAGGATATCCTCCACTAGATGAAGTAACAACTTGGTGAGACAAGTAGGAGGAGAATAATCCTATTGCAGTTAGTTGGTGGATGTAGGTGGCTCAGAACTCTGCTTTGTAATATTAGCTGAGGTGGCTTATGTTTAGCAGTGGACATGTGAAGCACTGTAATGATGATTAACATGAAAGCTTTATTAATTAAAATATTATATCTTAATTTAGCAAAGTCTGCACTTGTCAAATTCTTACCTCAACAATACAATAGAAAATATAGTCCCATTTAGTGGTAAGTTACTACTGCAGCCAGAGGCAAAGCGTTGACTAATATACACATGGGCGAAATCGCATCAGCCAGGCCCCTTGTCTTTCATTCCCAAGATCTGCCCAATGGATTTGTCCTGCCAAACATGCTTTCACACAACATACCTACTCATGGTAATGAAAAAATAATATAAATCCACAGTAGAAGAATATTGAAAAGCATATAGATTTGAAAAAAGTTTTAATTGGTAATGTGTGATTTGATGTTTTACAAAAGTAATGTTCTTCGGCTTTTTGCTTTACTGAAGTCCTCTAGTAAAGATTTGCAATTAATTTTTGCAGCTAAATCTGCTTCTATTGAAAATATTATTAAAGCAGACAGTCGGACCTGCTTCATACTGTTTCTTAAGTAGTTTTTAAGTAGGCCTTGTGAGATCCTTTAATTGCGAGGCCTTGGATGAGGGCCCACTTCGCCCACACCTAGCTATGCCACTGACTGCAGTCTATGGTCAATTCAACCAACTTCAAACAAAGCTACAGATAGATTGTCATCTCAAAGGCCCCCTTACACCTTATAATTTTACTTAGTGTTCTAATGTTTCTTATTAAAATAGTTTTTTGAGTTTTTAAGCATTATATTGTAACAATGATAACTACACACAGGTGGCAGAACATCTTATCAATCGATTTGGGTAGGTACAACCTTCTTATCCATTTCTACAGCCTAGCAGTAGTGTGAGCACTGCTGTGTTTCAGGCTGAAGAATATTCCCAAGCAGCACACAAACGTTATGAACATCAATATACCAGCCCACATAGAACTTGAGAGTTCTTTTGAAAGCGTATTAGACTGTTGAAAATAGGTTGTATCCTTATAAGAGGGGTTTTTGAGTTATTATACAGCTCAAGCTGTATAAAGTCTGTATTACGGGATCTAAGTAAGCTTAGGGTTCTTAATCAGAATATGTAAACTCTAGTATACAACTTTAAGTACTTTGTGACATTTCAATCTGATGTTATCATTAAAGTTGTATAGAAGCTGTTTTTTGCATGTTGTCCCTTGCTTATACAGCTCTAAGTGTTATTATAAAATCACTAAAATCTTATTTCTGCACAATGGTGTATGCAAACTCTTCTAAAACTTATTCTTATGGTGTCATTGTACACTTTTCTAAATACGGTAGTTTTATGACTTCTGTCTATGAGAGTGATATAAAATAAAAAAATAAATAACAGCCATAGTACAACTTTAATCTGTATAAGTGACAGAATATTGCCATTTTGCATGTGTTATTGCGTGTTTATATCGTGCTAGTGAACAAAATTAATTTACTATCAATATGTGGAAAAAAATAAAAAGATTTGGTGCAGTAAAAAGATTATGTGCACTCTAAATTGAATGTATCCATCACTGTTCCCAAGACAAGGTTTTTCATCTTTTATATGTATCTCAGTATGTATGTATGTAAAGAGAATTATATTTTATGTTAAAAAAACTGATTAAAACCCAATGGCTGCATGATATAATCCATAACATACATAGTACAGCTAGTAAGAAAAACCTACGAAAGATCGTTTAGACTGTTTAGCAAATTGTCGCCATTTTAATGCCCATAAAAACAAGATTTAAAATATAATTTTAGGAATATTAGACATTAGTCTAAGCCTATACCATTAATTTCAGTTTGACTAATGATCACTGCCCCAATGTGCCTTCATATCCAATAATTTAATAATTTTTTTTATTCTAACCTATACAACCTATATTTAGTTACCCTATTTAGTATTTTGTCCTTATATTATTTTGTTATTTTGCTGGTGTGGAAATTTAATGATAGAAAACATACACAAGTTTACCGTAAATCTAATATTGCACTTTTAATTCACCAATTATCACTGTCAAACCTCCAATCCGTATATAATATTAATATGCTAAACATATTATGGTAAGACATTAATTGTCGCCATCATTCAACAACCATTCTTTTTGTTTCATCATCATTATCATTACTAGTTATTGCCGATAGCCTTCGTTTCATATTCAATTGTAACACCGTTCAAAAACTAATTTAGAATGATTGTCTTTAAAGTTAATTATAAGACAAAATATATAATGTAATAGTTTCGTTGCGCACCAAATAACAGCAGTTATACAGCCTCTACTATAAAAACGAACTTCAATACAGCTCGTATACAGTTTCCATGCTGCTTGGGTTACGTCAACCCTTTGACTCAATGTCCGACATCAATTTTACAATATTTTAGTCTGTCAACATAATTCTTACATTGCAACTATTGATTAGGTTACTCTTGCTTTGATTGTGGTACCTAGATGATTTTTTAACAAATTATTATCATTGAGTATAACTACTTTTACTGATTTTAACTGACTGGGACTGTGGTGAATGATTTCTCCCCATGACCATGGCTGCTGCACAGTACCCGAAACAACGAGAATTAAAAATAAATAGAATGAAGCAAAATAAAATCTATAAAAGTAGTTTTATTCAAGTGTGGTATTCGCATAAATATAAGAAATAATTAAACTCTTATCAATTGTATAGGATATAATATAAAATTACATTTCTTATTACAGGTAGAAATGCTGCATGGTACTAAGGCAGTGATAGCACTGGCTGTGGATCCCTCTGGAGCCCGATTAGCCACAGGATCAATTGATTATGAGGTTTCATTCTGGGACTTTGCTGGTTAGTAATCTTTATGCTTTAAATACAATGAGTGTAATAAGCAGGTAAAAATTTGGCATTCAAATGTATCTATTATAAAAGCTTATTTTACATACATCACACTAGTTTTTGTTTCACGTCAATACATGCAGTAATACTGAAGTTATTACTACGAGAATTTAGGAGTAGTTTTTCAAATACCCGACAATTCGCGAGCTTGTGAAGTGACTTCATCTCTCCCATCTTTCACTGATCAGCCATTCAGCTATGTATGCAATGGTGGAACAGTACAGTAACTTCTTTTTTATATTTTTAGAGCCATTTTTATTCAAACCAGTTATTCAGGTTCAAAGCTTGTAGTCTTTCCTGTGCTATACCGATTTTTTTTATAGAAGAGGGGGCAAATGTGCATGCGGCTCACTTGATGGTAAGTGACTACCGATTTCCATGAACAACCGCAACACCAGGGGAATTGCAGATGTGTTGCCGGCCTTTTAGACAGGTGGAAGCTCTTTTCTTGAAGGTCCCTAAGTCGTATCGGTCTGGAAAAATCGCTGATGGTAATCGATTCCACAAGGAAGTCGTGCGAAGAGAAAACATCTTTTAAATCGCACAGTGGTGGACCGCCAATCATCCAGATGGTGAGGATGGTATCAATGGTAAAATGCTTTGCATTTTCTTTCGCAATCATGCAACATCTCTTCGCAGTGCCAATGAATCGAGCCGATCGGAAAGGACTCTGTCGTCGACGATTCGAACCGCTCTGCGCTGGATGCGCTTAAGTGGAAGGAGCTGGCACTGGGGAGCCCCTGGCCAGAGATGGGAACAGTATTCCATGTGAGGCCGAACCTGCATGAAATACTGTCCCGCTCTGCTGAGCACGCCAAGCTTTTTAGAGGCCAATTTGGCCTGCTCTTCCAAGTGACCACGAAACTGCACGTCACTCGATATGTCGACTCCGAGGATTCCGATACTGGCTGAGGCAAGAAGGGGAGTGCCTTGAAACTGAGGAGATACGACAAAGGGGTTCTTTTTAGCGGTAAACACGCAAACTTGTGTCTTCTGAGGATTAAACTGGACTAGATTTAGTCGCCCCCAATCCGAGACTTTGTTCAGCAGACTCGACTTCAAACACAAGTTTGTTCCGGTACTCGGCGACGTTTTCCCGAGAAATATTGGCACGGCCGGTGTATAGAGCATCACCAGTGCTGTCATCCGCATAGCAATGAATGTTACCAGTTAGCAACATATCATCGATATGCAGAAGAAACAGCGTTGGTGATAGCACACAGCCTTGTGGAACACCAGTGTTAATAGGCTTGTAGTCGGAGCATGCACCGTCTACAACGACCTTGATGCTCCGATCTGCAAGGAAGCTGGTGATCCAATCGCACAATTTCTTGGGAAGCCCATAGGAAGGGAGCTTCGAAAGAAGCGCTTTGTGTCAAACCCGATCGAAGGCCTTCGCAATGTCCAAACTAACGGCCAACGCCTCCCCCTTGGACTTACTGCCTCCGCCCATCTATGGGTCAGGTGGACCAGAAGATCACTAGCTGATCGACCCCGACGAAAACCGCATGGGCGGTCACTAATCAGCTGGTGATCCTCGAGGTACCGCATGAGCTGGCAGTTAATAATGGATTCCATTATTTTGGAGGACAAGGTGATAGCGATAGGCCTATAGTTGGACGGGTCTGAGCGGTCGGCTTTTTTAGGGATCAGGTGGACAAAAGCTGTCTTCCATGAATTCGGGACTACGCCTTGGGAGTAGGAGTACTGGAAAAGACGCGTTAGGATCGGTGCCAACTCCGGAGCACACGTCCTCAGCACAATTGGGGGGATTCCGTCAGGCCCACTCGACTTCTGAATGTCCAGGGAGAGGAGTGCTTGGCGAACCGAGCACTGTGAAAACAGCACATCCGGCATGGAGCACTCACACCGCGCGATGGTCGACGGTGTTTTCCCCCCATCAACAAGAGTCGAGTTGGAATCAAAAAGAGAGCCTAGCAGATCAGCTTTCGCGGAGCTTAGCTTTCTTGGAGTCGACACAATACTTGTATGACGATTTTAAAAATCAGTTATTGAGTTTTTCTATCAAGAAATTCTCAGTAGCTGCCCGGAGTCAGGAAGTTGGCGGTGTCTCACCCCCGTGCCCCGGAAAGCCGTTGGTGCTGCGCCTGATCTCTCTCCGGTCGTGTCGGTTTACCGTCCCATCGGACTTTGAGAGTGAGGGAATAGAGAGTGCACCTGTGCTTGCGCATACACTTGGGCACTATAATCCTGTTCTGCGCAGATGGCTAATCTCCGATGAGGCTGGCCGCCGTGACCGAAATTCGGTCTGGAGGACATTATTATTATTATTATGGCGATTTTAGTCACAAATAATAATTACAGCGAAATAGTATGTTTCGGCGAAACGCGAGTAATGACGTCACCGCGCTTTTTCTGACCGGCTGATTTTTGACAATAACATCGAGCCGGAAAGCGCTTTTTAGTCCTAATTATCTCCAGCCATTTTTTAACTTTGGAAAAATAAAAACACCATATTTCTTAGAATTTTCTCTAGTTTTGTAACAAACACATACCAAAAATCGTTGGCCTTGTCAATTGTCACGTCATGGATGAGATGACTGCGGACGATGCGGGATCCCGGTATTCCAGTATTGCATTCGGTTGTAATGATGACGGTATACTAGATAACGCCACAATTATTTTACTAACTTTAGGCTTAAGTATCTAAAGTTCTCACAAACGTTAAATCTACCACCGGTTTATTTATTATCTTGATATACGCCGCCACTACACGGCGATATGATCAATGTGTATTTCTTTTCCACCATTGAATTATATGTACTATGTACTAGAGAAGCCATTCCAAACAAAAATTGTGTCCTACTCTATGTCTTCGCGCATGCGCGGAGGTAGTAGTCACGCATGTGAGAAGACTTTAATTTGATATAAAATAACATATTAATATAAAATAAATATAAGAATTTAATATAAAATATTTTAATTTAATCTAAACAAACATATTTCTAAATAAAATGTAATAATAATTATTTTATGGAATTCACAAATCTTCAATTTACGCAATATTTAGTTTGTACTGATTGCAGTACAATTCAGTGGAACATAGTCAATGTTCGGAATGGCTTCTCTAGTACGTAGTACATATAACTCAATGTTTTCCACCGACTTCAAAAATTGGAGGTACTCAATTCGACCAAACCAGGTGAAATCGGTTCGGGTGAACCGATTTCGATTTCTAGTGCTTCTCATGTAGTCCCATATAAATTTGACCAATAGTTTTTGAGTTATTCCTAATAACTTATATTGAAGTCGGTTGTACAAAATTTTTAATTATCTTCTTTTGCAAATGTCAAATTAATGTCTATGGTATGGTCTCACAGGTATGGACTCCTCAATGCGCTCATTCCGTACACTCCAACCGTGCGAGAATCATCCGATAAAAGCGCTACAGTACTCCGCCACTGGAGACTCCATCCTTGTCGTGAGCGGTTCAGCACAGGCCAAGGTGCTGGACAGAGATGGCTTTGAAGTGCTTGAGTGTGTGAAGGGCGATCAGTACATTACCGATATGGCGAGGTGGGTAGTTGTATTTTGTGCTTCGATTTTTAATCATCATCATTAAATCACTTCACAAGCCTGGACATAGGCCTGCCCCAAGGAACCTTGAAAAACGTTATCCTAAACCATTTTTTTTTAAACGTTACCCTTACACTTGGATCTCTTCCTGTATCGTGAAGCAGTTTATAAACATAAATTTCACAAGCACAAACATTCAGACCCGGAATAATTACTTGTAGACTATACAAATACTTGTTCTGTGCGGGATTTGAACCCACGACTCCCAGCGCTGCAACTCATTGCTAGGCCACTGCACCACAGCGCCGTCTTTGCACTGCATTTGCGTTTATAAATCTAGTTGGGTGCTGCCCTACAATTTGCTTACCCATGTGTGCACTCAAGAATCTTTCTTCCCATCGGTTGTCTGGTTTTGTTCAGTTTACTAATCTGTTGGACTATAGTCATCATCATTTCAGCTCTTTACAGGTGCATTGCTAAACATAGTCCTCCCCCAAGGAATGCCACAAAGCACAGATAGTCTTGAGTGACCTGCATCCATTGACTTTCTGCATCCATTACTTTGTTGGGCTATGTCAATCATCAATAACAGTTCCTTATTACAAACAAACACAGCAAAAGTAAAAGAAGAGCCATGGTAGCTCAAAGCATAAATAAGCACTCCCACCTTAAATTTCAGTTACTGCACAGCCTAAGTTTGATCCCCGAAAGCACCAATTATAGTTAATTGCAATTTTAAGTGCAGAGTTCTTATGTGTTGATAATGATGATGATGATGTACCAAGTGTCTGAAGAGCACCTCCCATCCTCCCTCAATTTCATGCACCACACTTCCAGCATCACCACTCTCTACACCACCACACTAGGAACAACACACTACTGTATAGTACGAAACGTGTTTCGCCTCTACACGAGGCATCCTCAGGTGAAGTAGACTATGGAGGCTGACCGCTAAGTGAGCCATGAGCCGAAACAGCTGCTTAAATTTCATTGTGTGGAAATGAGCAGATTCAATATTAATGGATTTCCGCAAAGTAACGCCTTATTCTATTAATTAATTAATTAAATATTACACTGCTAAACATGGTCCTCTCTCATATTGGCGATTATTTTCCTATTATCTTAATTTTTTTTTAATAGAATAAGGATGACAAACGAGCGCACAGTCCACCTGATGGTAAATGGTTGCTGTGGCCTATAGACATCTACATCTATCCTCGTTTACGAATCAAAATGCAGATGCGTTGTCAACCGTGTGGAATAAGATGGAATGCCTCTTTTGCAGTAAAAAGGGTCTCTGGTTCTCTACACTCACCATACGAAACACAACAGCATTAAGCTGCTATTTTACGCTGGTATTCTGAGAGCGTGGTCCTTCCCCGGTCGAGCCGACCCATTCGTGCTACAACTATACCACTAATATAGCTGCAGCATGGCGCAACCACGTAAAAAATGTTTGACAGAGGGATTGCAACCTTTGACTTTCTTTTGTCAGTCTATTTATTACTAATACCATTTAAATGATAAAAATATTTCCTTCCCCAGAACTAAAGGCCACACCGCGTCACTAAACAGTGGTTGCTGGCACCCGCACATCCGCGAAGAGTTCATGACATGCTCCCAAGACGGCACCCTTCGACTCTGGCTGACTGAGAACCCTAAACAGCACAAATCCGTGATAAAACCGCGCCAACAGGGCGGTCTCAAAACAAACCCAACAGCCTGCGCGTTTTCAAGGGACGGCAACACGGTTGCTTGCGGCTGTTACGACGGCTCCATCCAGATGTGGGACCATAGACGGAACTTTGTCAACACCACTGCGTTACTCCGAGACGCTCATCAAAAACAATCTGAGATATCCAGCATTTCCTATTCGTATCTAGGTCACCAATTGGCAAGTCGAGGGAACGACGATACGTTAAAGTTATGGGACTTGAGAAGCTTTAAGAAACCTTTAAATGTCTTCTCAGGATTGTTCTCGAGGTATGAACAGACAGACTGCGGTTTCAGTCCCGATGACGCCATAGTATTTACTGGGGAATCACTGCAGAGGAATCAAGACATTGGTCGTCTTTTATTCTATAACACAAAGACATTTGAATTCGTGACAAATATAGAAGTAAGCAAGTCACACGTGATAAAAGCAGTGTGGCATGCAAAACTTAACCAGATATTCGTTGGTTGTGGGAACGGTGTTGTCAAATGCTATTACGATCATAAACGAAGCTTGCGAGGTGCTAAGTTGTGTATAGTGAAAACGCACAGAAAGAAACATTCTATGGAAGTTGTGAGCACACAGCAGATCATAACACCTCACGCTCTACCTCTGTTCCGGCAAGAGAAGTTAAGAACTAGCAAGAAGAGAATGGAGAAGGATCGGTTAGATCCTGTCAAGTCAAGAAGACCCGATTTGCCTATAACATCCGGTCAAGGGGGTCGCGTAGCTGCTTCCGGAAGCACATTAAGTTCATTTGTAATAAGGAATCTTGGTTTAAGTAAGAGGGTTGATGATGAACAAGATCCAAGAGAGGCTATACTTAAGTATGCGAAGGAAGCAGAGGAAAATCCGTTTTGGGTCGCTCCTGCATACAAGAAGACTCAACCGAAACCGATCTTTCAGAATGAAGGGGAAGAGGAAGGCCCTTCTGATGCCAAAAAGCAGAAAACTTCTTAAGACGGAACTTGAAATTTCCATTGCAATTACGGTATTATGTCATTTCAAACAATTTTGACAATGAGCTCGAATGATCTACAATGAGCTTATTGCTTGTGGTAGAGCCATGCTGCAGCTATATTACTGGTATAATTTTTGGCACGAATGGGTCGGCTCGTCCGTGGAAGGACCGTACTCTCATAGAGTACCAGCGTAAAATAGCAACTTACCACTGCTGTGTTTCGTATGATGAGTGTAGAGAACCGGAGACCCTTTTAACTGGATATGATTCCATCTTGTTCCTCATGGGTGACAACGCATCTGCATTTTGATTCGTAATCGAGGATAGATGTAGATGTGTTTTAAAGCCTAAAGAGTCGCTGCGACAAAAATTGAAGTAAATTAATATATTAACTTTGGCCTCTCAATACATTTATGAAAATGTAATGTACGTACACAAAAATAATTCATTTTGTAAAATTTTGTACAGCCGAGTTCAATATAAGTTATTAAGAATAACTCAAATAACTCAAAAACTATTGGTCTGACCTTGATCAAATTCATATTAAATTCACACGAGAAGTATCAGCTTTCATATAAAAAAGAATCATCGAAATCGGTCCACCCAGTAAAAGGTTAAGAGGTAACACCCATAAAAAAAAAAACATACGCGTCGCATTGTATGAAACAATAGGTCCGCTCACGCGCGTTCAAGTCATTTATGAACAACAAGTCCGAGAACATCGCTTCTTAACCAGTACGTTCTACAAAGAAATTCTGACGGTACTTTTGCGATCAAACGACACGTGCTCCTACGCGTTTGAGTCCAAGCGGTAACTAAACGTAGTGGTTATATTCTCTGGCGGTAACTGAATGTACAATTGACAATTTTGGCATTTTTATGTGTATTGCGTCCGAATTTAAAATTTGTGTGCGTAAATGCGGTAGTGGGGCGCGTCATTTCAGCTAAGACAAGCTCTAAAAAAAACAATAAAGGTCTTGTATTTTCTGCCGACTTCCAAAAAGGAGACGGTACTCAATTCGACTGTATGATATGTGTGTTACCTCATAACTTATTACTGGGTGAACCGATATGGACGATTCTTTTTTTATTTGAAAGCTGGTACTTCTCGTGTGATCCAATTTGATCATAGTCAGACCAATAGTTTTTGAGTTATTCTTAATAACTCATATTGAAGTCGGCTGTAAAAAAAATAATAATTTTAAATTATGTAGATTAATAAAAGATTAAAACTAAATTAATGAATTTCTACCAAAAATATTAATGTAATAAGAGGGCCAAGTTCAGTACATACGAAGCATGACGACCTCGCCTATACGAGTTGAGATCTAATAATTGTATAGATATAATACGTCAGTTTCTACTAAATCTGTCTAAATGGGTGCCAAGTTCACTATTTTACTATTGAATTGATTTAATTAAAAAGTGTTACGTTATTTGGTATTAAATTTGTTACTTGGCAAAGTTTTATATTCAACTACTACATTGTAGTATAAATTTAAATAAAAATGTTAGATTTTATGCTTGTATTATGTTAAATGTAATATATTGATAAAAAAATAAGTAATGATATATGAAATAAAAACCTTGTAAATATTTCATGTTATTCTTTTATTCTCAACCATAACAAACTTAAAACTAAACTAAACTAATTACTTTATTTTTGAAAAATCAAGCATGAGCTTGCATACTCTGTGGTTCGACAGATTCTCTCGTGTCGACAAATGGATTGATCGGTGATCTGGCAGAATTCTGAAAAAGAAAGATACTATTACAATTTATATAATAATTTCTAAACAATATCTTCTGAATACGTTTCGAAGAATTAAAAGGACTTTAGAAGATAATTAAAAGTTTAATTATCTCCTGTAAGAAAACTTCTGCAAAAAGTGTCCGACAGTCTGTCAGAAAGTAGCTAACGAATGTAGGTCGTGTTCCGATATACACTACGAGTACTGCTCAGTGCTCTCACTGCACTGACCTCTATATATATACAAGTACGCTGGACTGGCCATACCATACAAAATGCTTATGCCAATTTGAAGCGCCCTCATTGTCCGTACCAGGAGCTAAAGTTGACATAACATGCCTAAGTCTGTTGTGTATGTCTATTTTGAACTTATAAACTAAAAATTAAAGTATTTTACGTGGTTTGATTATGATTGATTTTAGTTACATAATAAGAATTATATTCAGTAATAATGAGTGTGCTTAATATGTAAAACTAGTTACCAAAAGGAAAGTGGGATAACATTCAATAAGTAAGTGAATTTACAGCTAATATTAAAACAAATTAAAACTATTTCATAATATAGGTAATTAAAAATTTGTTACTAATTTTAATATCGTAATTACAAACATGTTTGGCTTTACATTTTTAGCGTTGTCTATTCTTGGTACACATTTTATTATCTTGACAGAGGCCACTGACCCTCATCTTCCTAAATTGACTGATTATAAAATAACTAACCTGATTTACCTACTCTCTCTTACACAAACACACACATTCATACCAAACACACACGCACACACACATGCATTCATTTCTCAATTTTATAATTTTAATAACTAGAAATTGTTATAATTGTAGCACTCTTAACTGTACGCATGTACTTATTATATACCTAATATCTCTACCTTGTATCGCTTCGAAGTATTCGCTTATATCGCCAATTCAATACAGACCCGGTCGTGGTCTATACCGGCCTTATATAAGGCGTCAGATAGTTTCTAGAACCTTCTACTGTAGAAACATCTAGTATGTTCGAGTACATATCGGTCCCGATATTTCTAGAAGGATCTTGATTCTCTTAGTTCTGCTACTCGATACTAGAGGGCACTAGTGGTAACTAGTGTTGCCATGTACAAGACATTAGTAGTGACGCGCAACAATATAAATAAAGTTACTACAACTATCTTCGGGAACCTTCTCATACAAGGACATGCAACACGCAACTGGATTTTGTAACAACATAAAATGAGAAGCCTTGTTTGAGGTCTGCTAGAAATATAGTTTTAAATAAAAGTAAAGAAATGGCTCACCAATTTTTTAGCGCGTTCCGTGAGAATGGAGAATGCAAAGTGATTCAATATGACGCCGGTCGGCAGGGCTACGCCTTGGAACCTATACAACTGCTTCAAGTCGCTCTCCGGTGAACCTAAAATAGTTGAATAGTTATTTTTTAATAATTAGGATTTTCTCCTGTAGATATCATATGGGTCAAAACATTTTTAATCACAATTTGCCTTTTTTTAAATCATTTCTTGAAAGTATAACCATCTCGTTAACGCCAGACGTGATAAACTTAGAAATGAGGATATCCACAGTACAACCAGAGTGACCGACATAGCTCAATGGATTGATAAGCTGAAGTGGCAATGAGCCGGCCATATAGCTCGAAGAACCTACAACCGTTGGGGAAAAAAGGTTCTCGAGTGGCAGCCTCGTACCGGCAGGCGAAGTGTAGGGCGTCCCCCACTAGATGGAAAGACAACCTGGTATGACATGCAGGAAGTCGATGGATGCAAGCGGCCCAGGACCGTGCTTTGTGGCATTTCTTAGGGGAAGCCTATGTTCAGCAGTGGACTTGTGAAGGGCTGTAATGAAGACGATAATGAACGCCAGACGTAAAATACTCAGATCGGCGATTTGCAGCAACGTCAAAGGCGCAACTGGTCTGGTCCTACGATCGTGAATCCCGCCAAGCACGATTGTTAAGACAAATCCTCCTTATCACAAGACAAGTCCACATCCAGCAGTGGACTCTTTTATTCACTCCTTCATCATAGCCAATTAAAGTACACTGCTGAACAGCCTCCCCAATAGATTGCCTCAGAGCTGGCTTTGCACGCTTGGCGGGCAGGTTAGCAGCCGCAGTTTTTTTTTTGTTGTTATTAGTAAGACTCTACTGCCCATTTCCTGGTTTGTTTCCTTCTGTCTCCTCTTAAGACAACCCACGGGATGATATGGGATAGTGGATATTCAGACACCGCCATTACACGGTAAGGTGGACTTATACCAATCGACAAAGTGTAATTGCGCACCTGCACGTAATCAGCAGGGTGAGACGAACAGTAGTTGGGAGTTCATAGAGTTCCCTGATGAACGCAAGCTGTTCTCTTATATTGTCAGTCCCAATAACTGTTCTAGTATACGTGTATTACTAATATTTATTCTTAACCTTTAGATTTGCGCGTCACCATGTGGTGACGGCCATCCAATCCAGTCATCCATCCAATCACTCCATCACTCTTTCGTTCCATGGGTATAGTAAGCGACTATGAGATATGGTAAAAATATTTTTTTTATATATATAGAATAATAGTGACAAACGACCACACATGTAGACGATGGTAAAGTGAATGCTGTGGATGATAAAGATGAATAGAGAAACGATGATAAACAAACTCACCCAGTAGTTTATGAACTGCAGACACGAAGACTTTGCCGATCTGTCCGCTACTGCTTATCATGGGTCCCTTTGATATGTCCACGTGTTTGCCTACTTTGTATAGAGTCACTTTGCCTATACAATCAAACAAAGTTATAGTTAGATACAATTAAAGACTTCTATATCACTGGCTTCATATACACCCCATCAAGCCAGTGTAATCATGGCTACAGGGAAAGAAATATCATTGTCCATTTTTTCCGAATATGAGTTAACAATGTCATCTAGTACTCGTAGTACAAAATTCATAAAGCTATTTGGTTATTAAATCGAAAACAGCTAAAACAAATCATTGTACACATGCGACTCAAAATACATCAGTATGGCTGTTATGCATAAAGGATCATAGTCACCACTCTTGTATTTAAAAAGATCATTGTCTATGGACTACGTCCCTTTTACCCATAGAGATATATACCTACGGAGAGGGCATATTCCACTATAGAAATAATAGTTATACAAATATCTATGATATCGACACACACTTGTCAAAACAATTTTGTTTCTTTTTAACAAAGCAGTAGCTGCAATAGAAAAGAGAGACAACTACAATTTGTAAAGTGCTTATTTTGATAATACGAGACGTCATTAGCTCATCCGTGCGTGACTGTTTTGCGCCAAGTTTTGTGGTAGACCTGCTGTCGAACTGTCAAAAAGCTGTGACATAGTGTCGTACACTCTTATCTATGGTGTCGTATAGAAATTATTTTAAGTCAACGAATGTTGTACTTTTGTCGTGTGTGTCACGCACAGAGTAATTTTTGGTGTCAAAAACTTTAATGGAATATCTACGCATAACGATCAATCTTTGTATTTAAGTGGTCTTATATCACTCATGCGAGTGAAACGGCGCAAAACTGACCCAAGTACCTGGCATAATCACTCGTCCTCTTATAAAGTTTGATTTACCTATAATGTTGATGACAAAATTATGAAGAAACAAGTAAATAAATACAATACAATATAAAAAATATAAATGCATAAAATGTAAAAAGGATCAGTCCAGTGATTTTGATTTTTTTTGGGGTTGGGTTTAGAATCAAGTCGCCTGAATTTGAGGAGTCTGTCACTGTGGGGGGGGGGGGGGTCAAGGGGGCTTATCTCAAGCGCCCCCATGCAATTTTAGCTGCCAGAGCTGCGTCGAAATATTTAATATAATTTTCTAAAAATATTCATAAATCACTAATTAATACCTGACACGGAACTTTTGACATTGCCCGTAATAAGTAACAGATATACTCGACCAAAGAGAATATAATCACTACGACTTCGCGACTTGCGTCATAAGCGTCATTCTGTTGCTTCCGAGTTTACGTGAATGTGCTCCTTATTCTTATTATATATATTTTTGGACGACTTCGCCACCCCTCTAGAGACCGATTGCTTGCTATTTTACGACGTTTTTGGAAATGGTGGAAGTTATAAAATATGTTTACTTATTAAAGTAATTGTAAAAGTTTACATTTTGGTGTTTTATTTGGTGCAAGAGCGAGCGAAGCGAGCTCGGGACTTAGGGCACCCGACTCGAACAGGTTAGGGTAGAAATATGGCTCCAACCGCTTCGTGGTTATTTTTTTTTATAAACCACCCAGAAATAGGAGCCCCGCTAACCGGGGCTCCGTCGACCGAGCTTCCCTCGGTTGCGCCACGTTGAGTGGCGTTGGGCTACCCTCCCCCAACTCTCTGCCCCCACAAATCAGGTTTATATTGTCAAAAACATTACGAAAACATAACCTTAAAATTAGATTTTTAAAAATTTATAAAAAAAAACTAAGCACGTCCGGCAGGAAATGGAAGTGGGGGTGACTCTACAACTCCCCTTCCCCTCCCCCCACCCCCCAAATTCAGGCGACTTGATTCTAAAACTTACCCCTTTTTTGCAGTAAACCTTAGATTGTATAGTTGTTTTTTTTACTTAAATTCTAATATAGCATTAGTAAAAAAAATCTTGTTGGTATAATTTTGTTCTCATATATTTTAGTATTAAAAGATACATCACAATGTTTTTAAATAAATACTTTGAGAAAGTTAAATAAGGTTTATCAGTTTTCTAAAGACAATCGTCAAGTGACAATGATCTTACTTTCGCTGTACCCTTCTAATTTTAATCTATCATACGTTTTCATTCATAACTGTTTTTTGAAGTGAACACTTTAGAATCGTTGTGATTTGAAACGCAATGCAACAAAAAAGCGACACTAAAAACGGACAAACATATACATCTATAGGATTTAGACTGCGAGAGAATGAGATAGAATACAGTATACAGTGTTTCCTCTTATCTCAGATTTATCAGAGAATTCAGAACAAAAACTGTGTTATAGCTGTGGATCGCGCGGCCACGCATTTGTGGTTTATTTACAACACTTACTGTTTTAGTCAAACAAAGTGGGCACATGAATAATTATAACGTTTTCTAAGTCACATTAAACAATTAGAGTTAAATTGTCAAAAACAACTTTCGCGGTTTTACAAAACAAAGAACTAGTCTTGTCGCCCGCTCACAGTCGACTAAAGGAATTACGGAGACATGACCGTAACTTTGTGCGCAATTTATTAAGGCCACAGAGCCCATCTTGTAGCATACATAGAAGTCTTTTGTTATTCATACACACACACATACTCACACATACACACCACTTTTTAATACATCTAGAATCCTAATTAAATAAAAGAAGATATTATGTAAATTATAAATATGGTACATGTACGAGTGCATAACAAAACTATTGTAATTACAACCATAGGGCGGAGACCTGGCGTCCTGAAATACAGGCGTAAAGCCTAGCTTAGGCACCAGTCTCCCACAGTATAATATTGAGGCTATACTATAATGTTATGTACAATAATTCTGTATTGTGGTGAGAAAATAAAATAAATTATTATTATTATTATTAAAAATAAATTATTATTATTCATGTAAGTCTAAATATGTTCCACATAGAATGAAATTATAGTTTTTACGGGTTTTATTGCGTTAAATTAACCCATTTCATATAACCGACATTTCTAGTACTTTACAGCACACATAGTCACGGAAGTACTGAGATGTTCGACATCCCAATGTCATAGTTAACCACTAATAAGAACACAGGTTATACAAACTAATTACAAAACTTATTTAAGAAACGGCTTAGAAGTGGTAATAACCCCAGGAAATACCCTGGGGTTCTTATCAACAACACATTATTATAAGTGTATAAAGATACTCACCATTTGTCCTAGCTATATCAGGTATCTGTTTCGTTTTGTGCTCATTGTCTACAAACATCTCCAGAGCCAACTCCTGACCAACTTCCAGCCTCTCTATCAAGTCGTTCTGTCTGGTTAATTTGACATATTCAGCGCTCAGTGTGTGCATTTCCTGTGGCGTGGGCTTCCAATCCGGTAGGGTTGGGAGGTCCACGTCGTAGATGAACGACCCACTACGAACTGTTAAACGAATATAATATTAGGTTTTTTATATTTTATAAAGCAAGGTTAGCTCAATTCGAAAATAAATATCAGTATGGTAGTACCACGAGTTCGTTTCTTGCCATTCTCGTGAAGGAAAACATCGTGAAGGTATTTTGAAATCGATATTACGCCATTTGTCGATCGCCAGACCCGTTTGTTGGAATGGGGAGTGTGTTGTTTCTGGTGAGGTTGAAATTAGGTGAAAAACTCGGTAAATATCTCTTTTTTCTACTTTATTTTCTATCGGCCCTCATATATTTATAGGTGGTAGAGCGATGCCGCAGCTATATTTGTAGTATAGTTGTAGCACGAATGGGTCGGCTCGACCGGGGAAGGACCACGATCTCACAGAATAACAGCGTAGAATGGTAGCTTGACAATGCTGTGTTTCGTATGGTGAGTGTAGAGAACCGGAGACCCATTTTACTGGAAAAGAGACATTCCATCTTAGTCCTCACGGGTGACGGTGCATCTGCATTTTGATTCTTTATTGAGGATAAATGTAGATGTCTATGGGCCACAGCAACCACTTACCATCTGGTGGACTGTGTGCTTATTTGTCACCCTATCCTATAAAAAAAATATGTATGATGATAATCACAGTACCAGACGTCTCGCACTTTTAACGCTCCTACCCACTGCCGGTCTGGCTAATTTAAGTCTGGCTTAAATGCGATGGTCCTATATGAGATGAGATTAGATAGTCTCCATGTACTTGATGCCATAATCACAAATGTTACGAGAAGAGTATAAGGATTCTCTTATGCCTCCAGCAAAGATTGCGCTGTTAATCCTAAAAACTGGGATGGGATTGGGATGCCTCATAGACTGTAACTGTAAGCCGTGTAGTGGCCGTGTAAGAATATTCACTATCCCATATAGACACATACGTGTCGTAAGAGGCGACAGAGGGAACTAAAACAGAAGATGGGTAGTGGCATATTCAACTCAGAGTAATAAAAAACTGAGGTTGCTTACATGCCGGCCAAGCGTAGAAACTGATGGCAAAATGTTCCCAATGAGGCAATCTAGAGACGAGGTCTATGTTCATAGGCCATTATGTGATGGCATATTTTTTTTAGGCATAGGCATTATTGTTTATAGGCTGTAATAAATGAGAATGGATGATATACTTCTGGGGTGGAAAATATTCAAATAAAAATTTCCATCCATACGGGTGAAAAAAATATGAATGAAGATTTTAATGCAACTATTTAAACGAATTTCTAGTTGTAACTTTGAACTTTGCTATTTTTCTGAACCGATACAACTTAGAGACCTTCAAGAAAAGAGCCTACTCCTTTTTAAAAGGCCGGAAATACATCTGTAATTCCCCTGGTGTTGCAGTTGTAAATGGGCGGCGGTAGTTACTTACCATCAGGTGAGGCGCATACTTGTTTGCCCCCTTTTCTATAAAATAAAAATTGTATATACTTTAGATTACTTAAAATAATTTTAAACTTTTTATAAAACAGTAAAAACCGTTACTTCAAAAACTTCGAAAATTAGTAAAACAAAATCCAAAATTGGGTTCTCTATATCTACTTACTGTCAGGGCCAGGAAAGCTGTGTAATTTTACTGTGACTTTGTCCTTGAACGCAACGGTAGCACATGCTCCAAGCATAAATGAACACGTCCGCCAAAACGCCTTATTTACTTGCTGAGGCTCTGATATGTTGAATGTCTGGAACTAAAAGGAACAAGTATTGGTTGGATACTTCTGTTTGACGATTAATTCTGTTAGTGTAGAGAACTGAAGACTCTTTTTACTGTAAACGAAGCATTCCATCTTAGTCAAAAGTAACAAGTCCACATTTTGATTTTTAATCTAATATGATGTTTTTAATCTAATATGGACCACAGCATCCATTTATCGTTCAAGTGGGCTGTGTGCTCATATGTCACTTTTGAAACTTCTAAGAACTAAGATGAATTCAGACAGCCTGAAATCATAGTGGTTCTCTATAATCTATCTCCTTGGCAGCAGAAATAGGTAAGATGATTGACTGACTGATGATGATGATGAATGACTACCCAGACAAACTCTTAGTCAGGAAATGAGTCTGAGTTTTTATGCCAAGAGATGCTCAGTAGTTAACCCAGAGTCAGGAAATTGACAGTGTTTTATCCCCATGCATTAGAAAGCATGTCAAGCCGGTCCAGCACCTGATCATTCTCCAATAGTTTCAGATTATGTGGGAATGCGGTTTGCACCCACTACATACACACTTATACATACACTCGGGCACTATAATCCAGTCCTATGCAGATGTGATTAATCTCCATTATGATTGACCAATGACCAAAATTTGGTCTGGAAGACAATATTACCCATAGTCATTAGAGGTTAGGTAGCAATGTATAACTCACCTCTAATGTGCAGCTCTCTGTTAGAGGTCTATGCATATCCCAATACATACTGCCATCGATGAGAGCCAAAGCACTACTTTCCATATGCCATTCACTGAAGTCTGAAATAATTATTGAAAGGAACAATCACTGAAATCTAACATGCTAGATGCATCTATTTTGTATTAATTTGAAAGGAATCTTCAACTATTTTGTAAGGCTTGCCTTTGACAGTTGGCGCAGTGATTTAGCAATGAGTGGCAACACTGAGGGCAGTAGGTTTGAATCCTGCACAGAACAAGTATTTGTATGATCTATAAATAATTGTTCTTCTTGTGTAATTTATGGTTGTATGCTGCCTCCACAATTCAGGAGAAAATCCTAGTGGGGGGTGATGTTTTTTACCTGACTGCCAAGGGTTATAAAAAAACTGTTGGACAAGGCAATTGGTTTTTACAACCAATCAGGGGAAGCCATCAAAAACTGCTGAATTTAACATATATGTATGTTTTTTAATGAGAGTGATGGAATTGATTTTGCGTACAAACTGACTAGCTTATGCATTCTGGAAAAGACGTAAGTGTAGTAGGGGTATAAACTAAAAAATATATACAATAATTATTTTTGCAATCATTAGCCCACTAAAGGACATAAGCCTGTATGATCATAAATCTGGCTCCCACCCCAGACCATCCATAGTAAAGTAAAGTTGCAGCCTATTTACTACTGGGCACAGGCCTCCTCTCATTTCTGAGAGGGTTTTTGGGCAAGGAAATGTCCACCGCGATGCCTCAATGTGTATTGGCGAACTACACATGTCTTCGAAATATTTTTTTATTTCTCAGACATGCTGGTTTCCTCACAATGTTTTCCTTCACCGCAGAGCACATGGAAGATTAGCACTTAAAATTGCAATTAATAATTTCATTGGTGCCGGCGGGGATTGAACCTGGGTTGTTCACATACTGTGAAACTTACAGCGAGCACTAACCATCTGAGCTACCACAGCTCTAGATTTTGTATATATCTAATATATAAAAATGAATGTTTGTTTGTTTGCATTTTATGCGCTGGCATATCGTTTATCTGATTGTGCTAAAACTTTGTCAACTTGTTGCTTCCACTTGTGCGAAGGTATAGGCATAGTACAACTTACAGTAGGTGGCGCATGTATTTTACTGACTTTATTTGAAAGATATATAACACTGTCAGAGAGCCATGGAGAGAAGTTTGACAGGAATAAGGAAACAGGACAGAGTAAGATGTAGCGTAATAAGGGATAAAACCAAAGTTGTCAATATAATAACCCGAATAGACCAACAAAAGTGGAGATGGACACGTCACATGATGCGTGATCCACAAGAGAAGTGGTGCAAAACTGTTACTGACTGGTATCCCAGAGATGGCAAGAGAAGTAGAGGACACCAACAAACAAGATAGGAAGACGACTTAAAACTCACAGCTGGACATCGTTGGAGAAGAGTAGTGCGGGACAGGTCCCAGTGGAAAATGTTAGAGGAGGCCTATGCCAAAGGGCAAACTGAGCTTCGGGACATATTATAACAAACAAGAACATGTCTAGTATTCATATTTAACCAAGAAGTTCAAAATAAAAATGGCTTATTATTATTATTATTTGAAAGATATTATATATCATTCAAATCATCAATGAACATATTATCATTCCAAATTAAGTATAACTTCAAAATTTAAAGCAATATTTCCACAATTATTTCTTCTGCTGCTGCAACGCACCGGGTACCAGCTAGTACATACATAAATAATAATATCCAGCTTATATACCCTGATAGATAGTAGGCGAAACCGACCAGAGAATAAATTAAAAGATAAGTAATATCTGTGACAATTCAAATCACAAAAATTTTAATTAAGAAAATATCATTATGGATGAAAGTAGCCTGCCTAATTGTCCTAATGCTTCGCTTTACGAAATTATTATTTGGACAAAATTAAATGACAATTTATAACACTTACGTCTTGCGCAGTCATACGGTGTAGAAATATCCTTATTCATAACTAAGGTGCAGTCTTTGGGAATTCCCTTATATCTTACTTCAATCTTTTCTATTCTGCCAACGTTCTCCAATTGCCGCTTCTTCTCTAATGTAAATAGATGATGCCGACGTTCTATAGCTTCTTGAGTACTTAAACATCCTAAGAAAATAATAATATAAATATTTAAGCAATTCAAAAATAATTCTCAAAAATCTTAACCAGATTACATACTAATAGATGTAAATCCTTTTATATTGCTTTGACGCAGATTCAATTGTAAAAATTGTGTGAGAGGAAGCTTCATCGTATCTGAACTTTATTATTATCTTTTTAATAATTTACAGAATATCTGAAAAATAAACAATTTTGGAGGTTATCCTCTCCACAGTTTGACAATTAGTCAATTACTTAAGAGTTAAGACAGATAAAGGTCTTAGACCATACAGCCTACTGGAATCAATTCAAAAGAGAAAGATCATAGTGTACAGAGTCTATAGTGTACGCGTATATGTAGAGCGATAAGATAGGCGAGACCTTTCACTTACACGCTATCAGGCTGTATCAGCCTGGCGTCATTCGTGAACAACACAAGTCCCACTTGTTTTTGCAAAATCTCAGGTTTTAATGGGAAAATTAGTGTATAATAGACGTAATTAATTATGACTAGGTGTGAATACTACTAGGTCAGAAAGAAATCTGGGGGCACGGTAGTATCCCCGCCAAGTCGAGCAAAAAAGCGGCACGGCCGTACCATCCTTTTCTCGAAACAGTTCAGACCATTTCCGACCCCCTATAACATAGTTGTGGATAAAACTACAAGCCTGAATTTTCAGTAACCAAGCATGCATTATATAAACACTGTATAATTCAAAATTCATTCAATTCGAACTATTAGTTTAAGAATTATTCCTAACTAGTCAAAGTTTCTTAATTTTCTCTTAATTTGTCACTCACTGACTGACCGATAATCAAAACTCTAAGGCACTTCTAGCAGACGTAGAGGCTTCATATTTAGAATACAATTAGTGTTAGTGTATAAATTAAGGAAAAATTAAAATATTTTGTAATTTCGGTCCAGTTTTCTAGATACACCAACTGCATAAATGTGCAGTGAATAATGCAGTGAATGAATCAGTATACCTGTATATGTATAATATAATTGAATAATAGATGTAGATAAGTACCTAGATATAATTATGTTCAAAGGTAACTTGTAAAATGGTCAACGGAATGAAGAAGCAAGAATGGGACATGTCTTATGAAGTTGTACCAAAATCTTGCGAAGTATTAAGTAGACTAAATTGCCCGAAAGTCCGTAGTTGGTATTCAAAAAGTAAACCGGAAAGGAAAAAAGTAGGACTATCTACAAAAAGAAATGAGATGCCATCAAAAACATAACTTGTAAAAAAAAGTCATCCAACTCAGTTCTATGAAATGAAATGAAAACACAATGTATCTCATAAGTAAAACATTTGATATTAAATTAGATTGTTTAGTGCGATGGCCAAGTCAATCTATTTATTTAAAACATAAAAGATTTTTAATATTGATATGGTCACCATAAGATGTTGTTAGGTTAGCTAATTACGTAATAACTTGAGACAGAAGGACCCTTAAGTAGGGATTGAATAAGTTAACCGACTTGGTATTACATGGATCTCACAACTTTTTATGGTAGAAGACCTGAGTTGCGAGACTTGGTTTTTTATACAAGTTATGTTTTTGATGGCATCCCTTATTATTGTACATTTAACCCGTAGGTACGATTGAAATGTTTTGCTGTCTAAATGATGGGAAAAGTATCAATTTTGTTTATTAATGTTATGAATCCATAGGAATTGAATTTAAAATAATCACAAGCACGTGAAATCCTGCTAATTCTAACATCACTTTTGTAGAGATTAACACTATCGATAACATCTTATCGAAATATCTCTAACTGGCAATGCTTTGCATGCAGCCTTTTTTTAACTTCCGTAGTTAATTTTTTTTTACACGCAAGAGGGGTCAAACGAGCATGCGGCTCACCTGATGGTAAGCGACTACCGCCGCCTAAGAACAACGGTAACACCAGGGGAATAGTAGAAGCGTTGTCGGTCTTTTAAAAAAGAGAAGGCTTCTTGAAGGTCCTCTAAAGTCTTTCTTCTTATTAAATAATTTTTTTTAATAGACTTACTGGCACACTGTCCACTTGATCGCAAGTGAATGCTGTGGTACATAGACATCTACATAAATCCTTGATTAAGAATCAAAATGCATATGCGTTGTCAATCCTAAGGACCCAGACTGGCGGATTATCACAAAATATTTATGTCCGACATAATAGTTAGCAAAAGAAAATAATTGAGTATATGAAGCAAGTACTTTTATTCTTAAAGAGGTGCATTAAGGCAAAATCTACAACACATTAAAACAAAAACACTTATTAATAAAATTACCTATTGAAACATATTTTATTTTTAGAATAAAGTATGTAGCAAAATTGAAAAATATTTTTAAGGCACCTCACAACATTTTTCCAATAAATTAGTGTACTTTGAAGGAAAATATAAATTTAACAACAATTGTTGTACTTTTATTTTTATTCCTTACACAAGAAAGTTCAAAATTAAACCCCAACTATATTTCATGATATTTTATTTATAACGTAAGACTACGATTACATACAAACTCATTTTTATTTTTTTTTATTAATTATCTCAATATGTTTCGCAATATTTAAAAAAATGTACATACACCGTTAGTCTTGTTTAATAGCTTATTAGTACACGTTTCCTATCACAGTTTGGTTTTAGTAACTTTTAATTTATATACACATAACATTTTTTTTAAGAACAGTGTTTCTTTGTCCAGACGTTGGTGAGCACTCAGTCTCATTAGTGCACTGGTGGCGAAAATAAGAAACTATTATAAAATCAAAATTACCTGGTACGGTTTTTATGATTTTTCAACATCCACCTTCTTCGTTGCCGTATTTTCTTTTGTTTAACTTGTTTTCTTAATAAAAATAACTTAAGCCAAATGTTATGACCGGGAACAACTGTGTTTGCCTCTTCAGAATAAACTAACGCACTTGCAGTGGCGTAACAATAGGGTGGCAGGTCGTGCAAAATGCCACGGGCCCTGTGTATGTATAAATTTTTTAACAAGTTAAACAAAAAAAACCGTTTCGAAACTTAATGCATTCGTTGGAAAAGGTAGTATTTTTAAGTAGCCACCCAGTCAGTTTTAAAACTTATCCGGTAGGTAATAAAATCCTTGCCACTTTAAAACGCAGTGCTGTAGCTGGAAGAAATGAAGTTTTCTTGTTAGTATAGTAGTAGAGCGCGCTTTCGGGGAATCCCAGCTTTATGTATTGTAAGGTAAGTTTATGAAAGAATCCACGCACACATCATTTGATTGAAATTAATGGTGAATGATTTGATGGTTGCATGTGGCAATTGAGGCACATTTAATGAATTAAATGTGAAGATCGGTTAACAATATCTACTTGGTCTCTTACCTATTTATAATAATCTTTAACATAATCTAAGGATAACAATTATTTTCATGTATAAAAATAGTTATTTACAATGTCGGTAAGACAAAGTGGCAAAATTGAAGGCCGCAAAGTGCAATTTGTCTGGTAAGTGGACTATGAGAAAGCCTTTGATTCCGTAAAAATTCGGCGGTACTTCACGCCGGGGCAGCTTCTTACCTAATATAAAACGCAAGTCAGGCCGTGTATGGAGTACTGCTGTCACATATGGGCTGGTGCTGCAAAATGCCACCTGGCAGTGTTGGACTCAGTGAAGAGACGTGCTAAGAAGCTTACTGGTGACCTTGTTTTGGTTGAAAGCAATCTTGTCAGCCTCGAGCACAGGCGCAGAGTAGCCAGTTTCTCGATATTCTATAAGATTCATTTCGGTGAGTGTGCGCAGGAATTACACGCTTTAATTCCTCCCTCCCCTTTCCGCCATCGGGCAACCAGACGGCCGGCGGGTCTTCACCCCTTTGTTGTCGATATTCCACTGTAGGGCTGCATCACCACTTACCACGAGGTGGGATCGTGGTCAAGCCCTGGCTTATAAGAAGTACAAAAGCTAGGTTTTAATCACCAGATGGAAGTTAGCGTGGAACATTCTTTTTTTTAACTAAACTGTATGCCAATTAATTGCTCCATAAATGCTCCAGCAGAATCCGAAATTGCTCCACCTCTATTGTTATTAGTTAATTTATAATTAGTTTTAAAAAAATTAAGTATTAAAAATTTAATTTTGCTATAAAGTATAAAATATCTACTTTTTTAAATTAAACTGTATGCCAATTAATTGCCCCTTAAATGCTCCAGCAGAATCTGAAATTGCTCCACCTCTATTGTAATTAGTTAATTTATAATTAATTTTTAAAAAATTTAAGTATCGACAATTCAATTTTGCTATAAAACATAAAATATCTACGTTTTAAAATTAAACTGTATGCCAATTATTTGCTCCTTAAATGCTCCAGCAGAATCCGAATTTGCTCCGCCTCTATTGCTATTAGTTAATTTATAAATAATTTTTAAAAAATTTAGGTATCGAAAATTTTATTTTGCTATAAAACAGAAAATATATAGTTTTTAAAATTAAACTGTATGCCAATTATTTGCTTCTTAAATGCTCCAGCAGAATCCGAGTTTGCTCCACCTCTATTGCTATTAGTTAATTTATAAATAATTTTTAAAAAATTTAAGTATCGCAAATTTAATTTTGCTATAAAACAGAAAATATATAGTTTTTAAAATTAAACTGTATGCCAATTATTTGCTCTTTAAATGGTCCAGCTGAATCCGAAATTGCTATACCTCTATTGCTATTAGTTAATTAATAATTAGTTTTAAAAATATTAACCAGAAGGAAGTTAGCGTAGAACATTATTTTTTTAAATTAAATTCTATGCCAATTAATTGCGCCTTAAATGCTCCAGCAGAATCCGGAATTGCTCCACCTCTATTGTTATTAGTTAATTCATAATTAATTTAAAAAAAATTAAGTATGAAAATTTTATTTTGCTATAAAACAGAAAATATCTACTTTTAAAAATTAAACTGTATGCCAATTAATTGCTCCTTAAATGCTCCAGCAGAATCCGAAACTGCTCCACCTCTATTGCCATTAGTTAATTTATAATTAATTTTGAGATAGTAATCCCATTTGAGTAATAGCGCCATCATAAATAGAATGTAGTAACATTCTATGGTTAAAGTCATTTTATCGAACAAAAATTGATTGACTCTCAAGATGGTACGTAGAATAGATACTAAATGGCATAAACTTTGTGCTC